ATGCATTGCAAACAGCGAGGTCAGGAAGACTCCTTGGATGTCGATGACAGATGATAATAAGAGCATCATCTTATGGTGACTTCAATCCAGCACCGTAGATTTTGTAAGCACAGTTCAGTAGTATTGAAGCTTTTAAAACTGTTCAAACTTTCAAGGCATCATTTTGAATACCGTATCCATATTTTTCACAATAATTTGTAAGGCACCAATTCAACACCCCTGCATAGGATATGCAGTAAAATCCATCTTGGCGACGTTGGATAAGTGGAACGAAATAGGCAAAGCTTCCACAATGGCGAGTAGGAAAAGTTTGTGTCTCCGGCAGGGCCAGTTTGTCATTGTTTTTGCAGCTTCGCTGACTGACTGCACACCTTCCGCCTGAGCGTGTGCGCGTTGAGCCCGGCGCGGCGTGAAGGTTATCGGGCCGAGCGCAGCACCTTGACTGCGGGCGCCGGTGCGGAGATGGGGGCTCCCCGCAGGTTAGCCGGCACCTTGTGCGCAGCCAGTGTGCACCTACCCAGCAGGGAGGAGTCAAAGTGCCTCCCTCCCATGTCATCCCGTGGCCGTCCTGCAGCTCCTAAAAGCCGCCGGCGTCTCCACTTCAACACCCCCACCACCTCCGATATACACACACACACACACACACACACAATGTCACCTTCCCCCTTGGCCCCTCCTCCTTATTTGTCATTTTTCATTATGCCGTCCATGTTTGCTAATCTGCCTCCTCTCGCTATTCATCATCTCCACTTCTTCTTCTGAAGGTTACCAAGTGGCCGATAGATGCCACAGAAGGAGGGGGAAGGGAGACAATCATAAAGGGTGACACTGAGGGGCGACCGGAGGATAGGGGTGGGGGGGGGGTACTCTTATCTCTCTGTCTGTCTTTCCTTGACTTTTTTTTTTCCATTTGCAATCGCAAAATCGCCCTTTCTTCTCCTCCTTTTCTTCCCGCCGTCTCCTGGCTGTCATTGCTAGTCATCAACAAGGAATGTGCGTGTGTGTGTGTGTGTGTGTGTGTGTGTGTGTGTGTGTGTGTGTGTGTGTGTGTGTGTGTTGGGGGGGGAGGCAACGTCTGTTCGTTTGACCCTCACGCAATTGGTGCCCTTTACGTAAATGCGCTAACACATGGCCTCAGCCGGCGCAGTGTTGTAAGCAAGGGATATTTGAACACAAATGGTCGAGCAACCCATGTAGACAAGCAATGTCACGACTCAAAGGCGTGTATTCCTTATCCTCTGCCAAGAACTGCCGTTACTGCATTTTACCGAGGAGTTGTAGAAGGGGAAGGGGTGAATGTCATTTCCTTTCATCTCAATGGGCGGTGGAACCCAATCGGCATCTCATGGCTCGGCCGTATGGACGAGACGGAGCCTCGACAACAGGATGCTGCACACCGAGCCTCCATGAAAGGTGACACTTGGATTACGGGGGCTACCCGAGGCCAATCACTGCGTTAGTGTGCCGGTGCCTGTCTCTGTATTTCTAATCAGCAGCTCGCAGTCATTACTATTCCGCCCGCACCGCCGCCGGCAGACTGCACAAACGGCTACGCTTTGCACTAAAGTTTCACTTGAAAACCTTGAAGGCCACAGCGGTTTCACACAACATTTCCCGCCCAGAGCTTAACCTGCATTGGCGTATTGAGAAAGCAAATCGGGGGCGCCTTCAATACAGCGTTTAGCCTCACGTTGAGCGGCTCAGCTGCCTTTGGAGCGTGACCCGTGTTTGCGCCGTGCATCTTCTCCTCGTAATCTGCCCTCTCATCTTTCAATTTCCCTCCCTGGCTTTGGCTTAATTCTTATCTGGCTCCCTTAATATTCCTTCATCTGTGGAATTTTTTTTTTTTTTTTTGGGTGTTGTTTTGTTTTTTGACCTCCATCTTCCTTCCCGGTGATTTCCTGGCAGAAATTGAGCCGATGTACGCCAAATCTCAAGCCACCGTGCCCCCTCAAAATAAGCTTGCACAGTGCAACCTGCTGACAAGCTACCTTGAGGGACATAGTACGTCGTCACGGTAGTTCGGAAGAAGCGTTTCCAATGGAATGGCAAATGTTACCCGCCGTACGCAAGGGTACCCAAACGATTAAATCCATGATCAAAAACTCATTCTGGATTCGTTTTATAATTGATGAGTGGTCGATTAATCGTCGCAGGTCTAAACTTGCAAATGATTCTTATTTTGCTCGTATCTGGCATTTGAAGAGGGACGCATTGGGAGGCGATAATTCAAATAAATATAACTAAATAAAACACTCATATTTCCCCCAATGGTTGATTGATTGATTTACTAAGGCAACATTATTTAATGGTGACTAGCTTTTATTTTTTCTCTCCCCGTAGCTCCTTTCGATGAAGAACTCTCGTCGTGGTTGTGAGTGCGGCCGGCTGTCAGCAGCGGCAGATGGAGTTTGTAGCGTGCTTGTTAGCGCGCGCCTCCTTCCATCCCCGAGTCAATCTGGCCTGGGCCTGCTCTGTATTCCGCAGCCTCAGCCACCCGCGCTGCGTCCAATCTTTTCCTCCATCTCTCGGCTTGCTCCCCAACATGAGCACGGGATGATTTCTCCCGCCTGTGGCCGCGCCGAACCTCGGCTCTCTTACTGTAACACTACGTTGACTCCTTGCTCACCGTACACGTAAATCTCAATCCACAGAAGATAAAGTACGGCGGCTACCAAAAAAGGTCCACGTCCAAGAACGGACGAACTTCATTTGGGCTTCATCAGCGGCACCCTAAACCGGTGTGAGCCGACTCCAATTTCAAATGAGTTTGAGTAAGCAAGTAACTCTCATCAACTAAGTAACCTTAGCTGTCACTCAGTGATTTTTGATTTCTGAACTCAACCTGCGGGGCGGCGAATGTCCAGTTGCACCCGGGGGGGCCGCTTTGCACGGCTCGAGCGTCAAAACGGGGCCGCGACCCGCGCCTCCCCGCTTCCTCGCCGTCTCCCGTGCGGGCTCCTTATCGGCGCTCCCCGCTGCAACGTGTAAATAACGACTCCATGACCGCTCCGCCGGCCGAGCCGCGGGCGTGTTTATGCGTTGGCGAGGGTAGAAGAGAGCGACTGCGAAAAAGGATGACGGGTTATTTTCAGAAAGAAAAGGCTTGAATTATGTATGCGGGCCATTGCCGGGACGCGTTTGCGCGTCCATGTGTGTATGTTGCTGTTGAATCATTCACGATGAATCGATGTGTAAAGATATAATGCGCTAATCATCCTAGTACATTTAACTCTCAGGAAGAGTCGATAAAAACGTCTTCCCGTTGGAAATGTTTAAAAAATGGAGTCTTTCATCAAATGTTGATGGCTGGTGTCCTTTTTTTTCCCCTCCGCAGCGTTCAATCTCGCGTGTGGCCTCTGGGGTTTGCTTTGAGGTCTCCTCGCAGAGCGCGTTTGGCCGCCTTCGGCCGGGCTCGGTGCCCACGTGGCGCCACATCAAACGAGCGCCTTATTCTAATCGGCGTCCGTTAAGACAACTCGGACTCGTCCCGATTTCACCTGCCGCTAACCTGCCTTCGTCTTTGACATCGCCGACTGCTTTCGTTGTTCCCTTGCCTGTCTCTTGCCTCCACGCCAGACCTCGCATCAAATGCTTTCGTCCTGCGCGATAAAATAAAGAAACGGGGAATGAGGGTGATGACCCCCGCTACACACATGAAAGAGCCCCATTTGAACTGTGGCGCTAACTAAAACAGCAGATATATTATTTATTTATTTTGACATGCCTTCATTAGCCACTCGCATACATGTAATATGATCGTATCGTGAGGCAGTTAGTCAGTTAGCTTACCGGCATTTCTTGCGCACACACACACTGAGCTGCATATTGGATCCTTTTGACGGTTTTCCTTGAGAATATATGACAGTAATGGCAGTGATTTATGTATTTCAGTTGTAGCTATATATATAGACACACACACACACACACACACACACACACACACACACACACACACAGCACACACACACACACTCTGTGCGAGTGGCAGAAGATGGCACAGATAGCGTTGCATAATGTATGCGGCTTGTGAGGTGTCAGTGCACTGCTGAAGAAGCTTCACTTGCTGATGCAGAAAGAGTCTCCACCGCTTCTTTTGCTCTCTTTAACTCTATGCGTATTCTCCAAAAATAGGGGGTGGGTCGGGGGCTCATAATTGAAAGCGCAAATACAATCACGTTCATGTTTCACAGAGCAGGGAGAAATATAGGCCTGGTTTGTGTGAATTGCTCCCGGTAGTTGTTGATTGGTAAATAAAATCCTCTTCATTTATAATAATAAATCAAAAGATAGAATCTATCTTCGAGCTTCTCATGACTTGTCAGAAAACAACAAATCATGTCACATTCTGTCTGCATATGCTTTCTACGTGTACATAACTTTTTCAGTGTGCACTGTTATCCCTTTCGGGAACTTCCTCCACTGTTCCACAGTTGATATGTAGCTGCCTTTATTTGAGATGCTATGAATGTGTAATAAACACAACCCCCCTAACTCCGCCCCCCCCCAAAAAACGTCTCGTTACGCACAAATGGGAAAGATGATCAGGATCAAGGTATGAAATCTCGCCTTCCTCATTTTCTAATTAAATAGCCATGTCTCTTGAGGATTCCACTAATAACACGGCTATGCCTCTGTGTGTGTGTGTGTGTGTGTGTGTGTGTGTGTGTGTGTGTGTGTGTGTGTGTGTGTGTGTGTGAGTGTTTAGGAAGTACAGATGAATGCTGATTGTTTCCTCCCTTTGTGTAACAACAAGGATGCAAAAAAAATGGGAGGGAGGGAGAGAAGGAGGCGTGGCTATGTTAGCATGACAGCAGCACAATACTGCCATCTGCTGGTACACTGGAGTCATTGCTCTTGTGGTCCTTGGTGTGCTCGGCAATTCTGTCCCCAAAATTTCCTTTAGTGCTATCGTATGCGTGACTGTTTTTATTATTAATAGTTGCATGTCCATCAATTTGCCTGTTTAACCCCCCCCCAAACTCTCCCCCTCCACTTAGGCTGCGACGGGAGGGCTACACGGTGCAGGTGAGCGTCAACGACTACTTGGACATCTACTGCCCGCACTACAACACCAGCCTGCGGGGGACGCTGGAGCGCAGCGTGGCCGAGCAGTACATCCTGTACATGGTCAGCTACGGCGGCTACCTGACCTGCGACCCGCGGCTCGGCTTCAAGCGCTGGGAGTGCAACCGGCCGCACGCGCCTCACGCGCCCATCAAGTTCTCCGAGAAGTTCCAGCGTTACAGCGCCTTCTCGCTGGGTTACGAGTTCACCGTGGGACAAGAGTACTACTACATATGTCAGTGCGCGCATGCCACATGCTACCCGTGGTAACGCGGGTGGCAACCGCAAGAGCGGGTTACCCTCAATGCGCTATTATTGTGTTAGTCAGGCTTAAAATTGCATGAATAAGATGCGTTAAGAATGGGAGCGCGTGCGAAATCGTGAGCCCCCATGATATTCATTCATTTTACACAAGTGAAGTATTTCTAAGGCCGTGGCATCGCATCGTTATTGCAATTCCGCCGGCCATTTTGTCTCTGATCCCTGACACTCGCTCTCGACCTGCCCTTTAGCCACTCCCACTCACCACCACCACGGCCACAGTTGCCTGAGGATGAGGGTCTACGTCTGCTGCTCCACCGGTGCGTAATCATCAGCGCCGACTGCCTCTTTGTCGGCCATTTTGCTTCCAAGGTCCCATTTTGGGCCGCATCATTTGACAGTCTCCTACTTCATCCCTTAAATAATTCCCAGTTGGCAGCGGGTGTCCTCAAGTAGTCAGTCTCCTACTTCATCCCTTAAATAATTCCCAGTTGGGTGTCCACAAGTAGTCCTTTCATCACTTTTGATTTTTCAGTGTCTCATTCGGACGACGACTCCGGCCAGACGTCCGGCGCCTACACGGTGAGGCCGAGCATCAAGATACGCAACATCGGTGAGTGATTTGGTATTTTAGGAAAAGCGACCGAACTATCCTAATGTTTCATCGGTGGTTGTCACAAACAGTCCGTAACAAACATCGCCCTTGCCCTTGGATGGACGACCGTGCGCGAGCTTCAGGTGCCGGCGGGCATAACAAGCTTTCAAACCCGACTTACATGGCAAGACGGCAGGCCGGACTTTATGAAGCGCGAGACGAGCACGCGCCGTTTGCAGTGAACTCCCCCGGGCGAGACGAGACACGTCGGTCGATAGGCGACATGGGGGCTGTCCGCTCGGATAAATCTCGCCGCGGACTCGCGGGAGGTCATAAAACAAAGTGTCGCCGTGCTTGCATGCGTTCGGCGGAGCGCTCAGTGAGGGCAGCCGGGGACTATTTTCAGAAATCAATAGCAGACCGACGGGACACTTCAATGAAGTTGCAACTTTTTGCCTTCAGGCAGCGGGAGTGGGTCAGTGACAGCAAACCCTTTGTCTGCTCGACACTGGCCACGATTTTGAACCTAAGTTACAGTATTTGTTCTGTGACGCTGGATGAATTTTTCCTCAACTGTGTTACCTTCATGAAAACAAACAATACAAAATGCCCGAGGCGAGCGAACAACGATTTTCTTTATCCTCTTCGAAGATTGACCATTGTCACTCCAGCTTAGTTTTGATTGGCGCCGTGTATATCTGGACGCCTTTATGATACTGCCTGCAGGTGGCAAAGGCATGCATAACAGAGGGAGCAGCACAATGTCCGTTGAATTCAAGCAGACACTTGGGGGCGCCGTGGCGCCGT